AAATTTTATGAAAATTTAATAAAGAATATGTCATCAAATTAGTATAATTTTTTTTATATAGTTTATTTTAATAAGAAAAATAGATTAAGTGTAATTCAATTAGAAATGACATTATGGTCATTTAATAAAATATAGTCAAGATATTGAGACATTTTGCGACTAAATGTGATAGTTTAGAAAGTTTTATGCACAAAATATACTTTAAAAAAATTATTTGCAAATTCAAAAATAGTTTAGAGGAATTTTTTTACACTTTACCCAACAATAATTGAATAATATCGCTAATACATAATAACATAAACATTTGAGTGTTTTACAACTAGAATGAAAAAATGTAATAACTTTGCTAACTCTGTGATTAATAGTTGAACAATTTCCCAAGCACCCCAACAATTTTAGGATTACACCCTCTGTCCTGTAATAGTGTCCCATAATATGTGCACTTTTTGGACGTAGAACTTTCTAAGATGATATATAATAATTGCATTATCACCTTTGAAAATTACTAAGTTACTTGATCTTTCAAATTTCTATACATATATATATATATATAATTAACTTTGAAATTTTATAAAATTGTAAGAGTATTTTATGAAAAAATATAAAATGATTGATTTAATGGGACGGAGGTAGTATTATTTGGTGACTTAACGAAAAAAAAAAAAAAAAGTGATTCGATAATATATAATTTCTGATTAGCATCATTGTTATAATTATTAAAAGGCTTTCGGAGTAAACAAACACTTCACAATTATAGAACTGCTAAAGTCCAAGTTAACTAGTATTATTTATAATTAAACTAGTTTGTAAAAATGGTAGCATCTACAACAGTATCAAATGCCAGTCCTTCTTTATGATTTTAAATGTACGTCTTACATGCATAATTATTTGAGTATCCGCAATATAATATTAAGAAAATCAACTGATATGATTCTCTATTAATTAATTCTTTTTGAAAGTTGTAACCAGTAATTAATTAGATCACAAATATATACAGTAAATTGTTTCAGACATTCAACAGCCCTACTAAAGACCGCTCATTGTTTTAATTAATTTTAAAACACCTATTTCTTTCTCTTGTTTGGTAATGAATTTTTTTTATTTTCCTGAAATCATTTGTAAACAAAATTTAATTGCATGTCAACCTATTTTGAGCCTTATATACCTAGTGCCACCCCATAGAACTAATTGATAACAAAGTTCAACATATATAAATTTAAACGGACTCTAAAATTCTAATTTTAAAAGTAAAAATTCAAAAGAAACCCAATTAAAATATTTATGAAAAAAAAAAATTGCACTGAAATGGGTTAAATTAATATTAAACTTTTTAAAGTTTCTCAAAATTTTAAAAAATATAAAAAAAACGGAATTTTCTTTGTTCCACCTCAAATCTTACAATGTGAATTTAAATTGACCTAAATTTGATGTAGTAAAAACCTAAAAAAATATTACTTTAATCTCTAGTGAGGTTTTGTCTAAACTATCTTAGTAGGGTGAAACTATTTTCAAAAGTGTGATCAACCTCCCTTAAAGTTTGACACAATCAATTTGACTGTTTTAGGTAAGAGTCACGAAAAGTCCGAGGTTTTTGTGGGATGAGGTATCTAAACTCTAATATTAAGGCTCCATTTTTTTTGAAAAATATATATTTTTGTTAAATAAAATATTATTTTATTTTTACTTTGTCGGTGTTTGTCAAAGGTTTACGTCGAGATTGAGGCAGAATCTATCGAGTGGGACATGTAAAATAACTTATCGAAAATTTATAGATAAATTATTTTTGTTAAATTTTAATATATTTTATTTTTCGTAAATATTTTAGGACAACCAAACACCAAAAAAATAAAAAAATATTTTCTAAATATTTTATATCCAAACAAACGGAGACTAAATGTTCTGCACTCGATTAACATTGCCTTTGTATGCAAAATATGAGTAAAAGCTTAGGATGTGTTTAGTAACGTTTTCGTTTTTTGTTTCTGCAATCTTAAGAAAGCAGAAACATGATTTTGTTTTCTTGAGTGAAAATAGAAAACAGAAATGACGTTTGCTAACACTTGTTGTTGCTACAAATTTGAAAACATAAAACAATAATTGTGTTTAGTAATAGAACATAATTGTTACAAAATGTACATAATATTCTTTAATTTTTTTATTTAATTTTATTTTTTATTTTTTTCATTTCTATTTTATTTTTTTCATGGCAAAAATTTTAGGAGTTAGTGATTAGAGGGGAGGGTAGATGATGAACATGGACTCTCGGATACAGGGAGCAACCCAACCACTCAAGTACGACACTTGCTTCCATTAATATAAAAAAGCCATAAATCTAGAAAATTTAATTTAAAATTATAAATCTTAAAAATACCCAATATATCATAAGTACAAAATTAGATATGCCAAGACAAAAACATTCCCACCAATTATGTATATAAATACATGTATATGCATGATGTATACATTTATTATGTGATATATAATATATTTAGCATATGATAATTTATTATGAATAAAAAATATTAAATAATATATCTTATATGTAATAAAATATATATTGTGTTATAATATTGTAAATTAATTATAATTTAATATTTACATATAATATAATATAGATATGATATATAATAATATAAATATCTACTGCTTCATAATTTAATAACATTATTATTTATATCCAAAATTATTTTGTCACAAAAAATCATTTACATTATTATTTAATATATTATATATTAAAATATATTTTTATCAAATAAAAAATAATATACAATATTTAATTTATTCTATATTAAAAATATATTTTTTTATTAACATTTAGTATGAAACTTAGTATATAACACAAATAATATGAATTTTATTTAAAATGAATAGCGTCTGTGCATTAACATTAGTGAAAGCATTTCTCTGCTACAGTGTCGAAAACATAAGAAACATCATTGTGATGTTTTCTCTTTTTTTCACAAAAATTGAAAACGTTTTCTGTTATAGAAAAACAAAAACATTTTATTGAACACGATTTTTGTTTTCATTTTGCCTTTTTAGAGGTTGACAACAGAAAATAAAAAACGTTTCTCGTTAATAGACGCAACCTTAGCTAGTACAAACTCTCTTCCCAAATGATAATTTGAGTGGAAAAAAAATTATATTTATATATGGGTTAGCATTAAAAGGTAGGTGAAACCCTATATATATATATATATATATATATATATATATGGGTTAGGATTAAAAAGAAATGAATATATATATATTTTTGAACAGGGTACTATTTTAAACTCGTAATTGCTGGGTCCATTGGCTATATATATATACCCAAGCCATCTGCCTTTTTATTTCAAGTCTTCTTTTCCTAGTAGCTGCTAATCTCCATTTTGATCATCTCTGGACAGGTCTTTCTCCGAGTATTTCACTGTTTGCCATCTCTTCTTTTTTGGTATGTAAGTATTTCTAATCCTTAATTAATACTTCACTCTGCATTCAACTAGTTCATTAATTAAGGATTCATATTCATCGGCAACGAATTTGCCTTTCTACTTTTTCTTTAATTGCATACTTGTGTGCACACATAGACCCTCACATATCTATCTATCTATCTATCTATCTATATATATATATAGATATATATGCATTTTTGATCTAACTATTTTCTCATGCAAGTTTCAAGTACTAAACTTAGCTACAGTTTGGACTCCATGGAGACTGGGCAGACAGTTTCTTTCGGGCCCTATGGTGCACCAGGAGGCAATTGGGATGATGGAAAATACAGCACAATAAGGGAATTAATTATATATACTACCGATGGAGAATTTTCTGCCATCAAAGTTGTCTACGATAACGAAGGAAAGGAAGTATCCGGAAAAATAAATGGTGGTTTCTACCGAACACCAAACTCGGTAATATATATATATATATATATATATATATATATATATATGCAATTTGATTTTCAAACTTGCCACTCATGCAAAAGTTTTGATTCTACATATATTTGCCATGCTTCTCAGGTTTTGTAAAAATTAGGTAACAAGACAAAATATCATCTCATTATTTTGTGTATATGAAGAAAGAAAATAGAAAGAAGAAAAAGAAATTTAAACTCAATGACTAAAACGATTGAAAAAAATCTAATAATTAAGCCACATTAGCATTTCAAGGTTTCAAATCGTCTAGTCACTTTCATATCACACTAATGTCTCCCTATAATATTTAATTACTAAAATATGTCTTAACTTTTATCTTTTTTTTCTCTTTTAGTATTCAAATTCATCTCCACCACTAGTTTGGTTTGGATGAAACTAGTGGTGGAAAGTGAATGTAAAAGATAGCGAAGTAAAAGAAAATTAAGTTTTTAACGCCAACTTGGTTAGCATGAAAATTTTGCACGAAAATTTTGTAAAATTATTATTTTATGATTTGAATTGCATGTAACTTATCAAAAAAAAAAAAAACCAGGATAATAACATAAGTTTACAAAACTTTCTCAATAAATCAAAATTTTCTTAAAATGAAATCTAATGGTTTTGTCATTGCATATGAATGATATGTACAAATATTAAAACTCCACAATCCACATTATGAAACATACAACTTTATATACATATCTTGATATACTAACCAGTAACCACTAAATTTTTTATCCAAATTTTGTTTTCGCCTGAGATCTGTTGTAACCTGATTTTGATCCGATTATTAGGCTTTGCCTCTCGGAAAAAAAATTTTGGCCCATTTTTGTCTTGTGGCTTGTGGACCCGGATTCTAGTCTCTATTTTAACTAGGTTTTGTAGTGTGGCAGGAGAAAACATTGAAAGACAAAATTGAGTTTGGGATAGACAAACTATTGTGGAACTAAAAACTTGTAATCTCTATTTATTTGCATATGAAATCTTTTTGTTGATCTTCATTGTGAACGCTACGGTTTTTTTTGTCATTTTTTTATATTATTTTTATCCATCGCTTTGTCACAATATCTAAGTTTATTCTTTTTTATTGAAATATTACAGGTGAAATTAAACTATCCAACCGAGTATCTCGTTTCAATATCGGGTTACTGTGGATACTTTAAAAATAGTTATCTTGTTGTGAAATCTATTACAGTACAAAGCAATATAAAGCAATACGGACCATATGGAACAGAAGAAGGAAGTCGTTTTATAACCCCGTTAACTGCTGGCAAGATTGTTGGATTCTTTGGAAGGGTGGGTGAACGTATGGATAATATTGGAGTACACATTAAGCCATTCCAAATTACAATACCTAGTGTTGGTCCGTTTGGAACTACCAGTGGAAAACTGTGGGAAGACAAAATCTATAGCACGATAAGGGAAATAATTATACACTCCGGATGGCTAATTGATTCCATCCAAGTTGTCTATGATATTGAAGGAAGAGCACTATTGGGCGAAAAGCATGGTACTGATGGCGGACAAGAAACTAAGGTAATATATATATATGTGTGTGTGTGTGTGTGTGTGTGTGTGTACATTTATAATAATTTTTAAATTTGTGACTCATATATCCACAAATTCATTTGATTTTATATTTGTCATGCCTCTCATGTTTTTTAAAAACTAGCTAGCTAGAGAACAAAACATCTAAAAAGATACATATATATATTGGCCGTCCTAGTGGTCCACCAAGCATGGTAGTTAATCTGGCACAAAAGTTGAAGTTTGTTATAATTTGCCATTTAATACATAATAATAATAATAATAATAATAACAACAAAAATCTCTATTTTTTGTTGAAGGTTTTAATGCTCATGCTTTCATTTGTGCAAATATGAATGCCATGCATGCTTACACATACTTTTCTTTACCAATACAACTTATTTAGGTCACATTAGACTCGGATGAATATTTGATTGCAATTTCGGGGTCCTTTGGAGAAGTAGATAAGAAGATTGTTATCCGGTCCCTTGGATTTCAAAGTAACAAAAGAATGATTGGACCATTTGGCACGGAAGAGGGAGAGAAATTTCGATCCATATCAAGTACTTGTGACAAGATCATCGGATTCCATGGAAGGTCTGACAAATATCTTACTTCAATTGGAGCATATCTCGGCAAGTGAGGATAAATTTTTCACAATGACCATGAGCTTTAGTACTCTTTTAATCATTAATAATAATGACATTTGCATTGATAATAATGGATGTTATGTGTTGTCCTTAAAGCTTAGTGAAAGTGGTTAAGGCAACACAAACTTGTGTCTGTGTGTTTGATTACAAGTAATTTTCATGTTTTCTTGTGTGTTTGAGCCTGAAAGCTTGGGTTTGTTATGTATTTTGTAAAACTATGCAATTCAGTGATGAGATGCCAAATGTTATATCTGGTGTTCATTATAATAAATTGGGTGTTTTACTTGCAAATGAATAATCTTTTTGGTTGTAAAAAAATTTATGTTCTATGTTAGGAAACTCCGTCCAACTAGCTTTGATGCCCGTTATTGTAAATTAAATCCCTTTGCATTCAAGCACAACGAAAGAATATCATCACATCACATCACATCATGCTATATCAGTGAAGCACAATACACAATATTTATGTAGTTCACCTAAAACTAGAGCCACGGAGATAATTTTCACTACTATGAATCAAGAAGAGAATTGACAACTGTAGAGAAACCTAATGATCAGAAACATCTTCCTCCACAAATGTACAGCCTCTTGGAAATAACATCTTTTATTTAAGAAACTATATCCGCAACTCATTAGGCAAATGCAATCGGTCCCAAATAATGTGACCCTTCAGACTTTTCTAGCATCTTCAGAACTCCCAACCAAGAAAGTGAGACCAGTTGAACTTTTTCAGAACAACTTATATCCTTCAGGAATTTGAGACGCATCCTAACACTCTTTTGTTTAAATATATGGTTTGATAAAATCATCATATGACATTGGATTTATGTTGTAGAAGGATAGTTTGTGTAGAAAAATTGTGCTTCATCCAAGATTCAAAACTCTGTTTTTAGCTTTAGAACATCGATCATACCTCAAAGAGGAAAATATATATTTAATATTTTTTTTTGAATAATTCATGTCTTTTACATAAAGTTGTAAACAAAATTTTCGAAGAAAAATTGTAAATAACAGAGAAAACTAGCTACCACTGTTACAAGGTTACTATAACAAATTTAAAAGCTTTAGCATATGGAGACATAAATGCCTTAGTTGTTATTAATAAAAATATTTTTATTCTATTAGCAAACAAATTATTAATAAAAATTTATTTGATGTGTTTGAGTTGGCAATCAGACTGTCCATAATTTTACAATTTTTTAATAAAAAAATCTGGCTACAATTTGGTGCCAAAATGTTCCTTACGTTGATTTATGATATTTAACTTTATTTTATTTTTATAGTGAGATTAGCACTTTTTTATTTTTGTTTTATTAGACTCTACTTGTTTTATCTTTTATTTGTTAATTGTATAAAACCTTTAAAAAGTCATAAAATGATTTTCATGGTACTTTTTTAGACTAAAGTTTTAGCGTTTATCACCTTAAAATATATATAAGGTGATGACAATTATACTTTTTTGTTTTATTATACCCTACTCCATGCCACTGATGAAAATTCGCAAACTTACGTCCGAAGAACCATAACATGGAGTGAAGTCACCTTCCCCGAAGAATGGACTCTCGAGCATATAGCTCCTCCTTCAAAGATTGATAAATAAAAAGTTGAAACAAATCTGTTGAATTAACCAAACACACACACACACACACCAATATTGCAACACACCATTTGCCCTCATTAATCACTTGTCAATGATATAGAAATGCATTGCTTGGTGGTGATCTCTAAACCCCAAGATCTCTCTCTCTTACTTACTCTTAATTGCATTCTTTTACTATCACTTAATTTAATTTAGTTACTCTTTAATCAACCAACCAACCAATTGTTTGATCACTCGACCTACTAGCCCTAATTGTGATTCCACAACATTGCTCGATCCCCACAATCCCTTGGGATGATCCCTACTCACTCTTGTTACGTTAGTAGTAGTGTTGGTAGTGATTTTTATAAATTTAAATTTGACATAAAAAGCGTTTCTTGAACCGCGCATTCACTACATTAATTTTGGCGTACAAGGAACGACCGTCATCAAATTTTGGCGTCGTTACCGAGGATTAACGGTTAGATTTGGCAACGTCGAATTTGTGGAATTGATTAAGATTAGTACTCTTTTGATCGTGTCTTTACTTTATTTATTTATTTATTTTTTTGGTTAGTTATTGTGTTGATTACTTAACTAGGTGCATTGTTGGAGAGGAAGCAAGCAAAGGAGCCATCAAGCATTCAATTCAAGCAAGCAAAGAAAGCAAAAGGCTAAAAAATTTAAAATTGTTAAGCTAAGCTTTAAATTTGGAATTGAAATGTTAAAGGACCTTTGTGAGATTTTCTTTACTCAATCCCTTAGTTCAAGTATGGGAGTATGAATTAAATGTTTGTGAAAGAAGTCTAATTGCATTGTTGTGAAGGCATAGTGTTTGTTATTCTTTGTATTTGTTGTGTTTCGCATTGTGCATGCATGGACGACGTTCATTGAGACCAACTCTTGTCCCTCTTAATTTATATCTAGAATCTATCATTAGAAATCCTAGGGGAAGAGGAAGTTCAAATAGAGCAAATCTTTCAATGGATGACCATAATGATCATCATGTTGAGGACCTTGGTCACACAGACCAATAAGGTATCCTTCATCCCAATGTGCACAATGAGAACATACAAGAACTATTAGGCATGCCTAGGCCATTCATTCACCAACCACCACAACAACAAGGCCAAGTTCCATATGGAATGCCAAGGCCAATGTATGCTCCACAACCTCCCATCAACAGTCAAGGAATTCAAAACCAAGGTGTTCATGTTGCACCTCAAGTAGCTAATCCACCTCTTGCCTTAAGAGACCATTATGTGCCTAATGAGTATAATACACCTACATGCATCCAATTGCCTCCATTTAGAGCACATCATTATGAAATTAAGCCACAAACCATTCAAATGCTTCCTAACTATCATGGACTTCCAAGTGAAGAACCTTACAAGCATTTGGATGAGTTTCTTGAAGTATGTTCCACCGTAAAATATACAGACATGCCGGAAGAGGTTTTAAGACTCAAACTTTTTCCATTCATCTTAAAAGACAAGACAAAGTATTGGTTTAACAATCTTAGGCCTTTTCAAATTACTTCTTGGGCAGAAATGCAACAAGAGTTCTTGAAGAAGTACTATCCGGTTTCTAAGACCAATGCCATGAGGACCTCAATTCGAAAATTTTCGCATGGGGATGGAGAAACGTTTCATGAGGCACGGGAACGCTTCAATGAATTGCTTAGGAAGTATCCACATCATGATATACCCAAATGGCAATTAGTTCAATACTTCTTTGAGAGCTTATCGGACAACTATAAGGGCATGGTTGATGCTTCCATGGGTGGCTCATACATTGATAGGCATGAGGATGACGTGTGGTGTCTCTATAAGAGCATGAGTGAAAATTCTTTGCATAGAACACTATCATCCATGTGATACCCCCACATTTCCACGTGTAGGCTGGCCAGGTCCACACCCGAAAATGCGAGAATATCAAAACAATATAGTACTTAAACGAATACAGAATACAAGAGGAATAAAAAAAAATGATTAAATCGCTGAATGGAATTCTATTAATAAAATTAAATCTCTTTTACAAAAATATTTCCATGAGTTTCAAATTCTGAAAATATTATACAACTCAGGAATCCCATAAGTTAAGGACCCCTAAACCAAAATCTTATAAACCACCAGTTTATACAAAACATTTAACAATAATTAACTATACTAATTAAAGGTAAACAAGATGAGTAGATGAATGACAGTCTCCCAGTTGCGGATCCTTAACCTCGAGACTGGAACTTCTAATAACCTGAAAAATAAATCGTGGGTTAGACCCACGAGCAAGTTCCCTCTACCAAGCCTCTGAAAACCAATAAATAAAGCATCTCTAACCAAAATCATCCCAATTAAAGTTTTAACCTTTAATATAAGATGATACAAATTTATATAAATAATTATATATAAATAAAATAATCCTATCTATTAATAGGTTCACTAAATTTGTTGAAACCAATCACCAACGATTAATTATCAATCATACCTAGACTAAATCCATCATTTATATTTATTTTCCAAAACCAATAATGATTATAAGTATTTACATCACACCGCTAGGCTTTGACAAATCATCCATGTCACCACTAGTATTATTTTGTTAATATGTATAAAGTAATACACTATCCTGAAAGTATTAGACTATTCTAATTTAAGAATATCTAATTAATCCTAATCCAACCTATACATGCAATACTTATAGATGATATACTTTAATCATCTAACACATAACAATAATACACTTTGGCAAATCAACCATGCTCTTATAAATATATTTATTTA